TCCTTAAGTGCCTTGTTTACATGTATTTTAAGTATTTTCAGGCAGAGTGATTCTACTACTTCCCTGAGCAGCCTCTTTCAATGCTTGACAACCCTCTCAGTGAAGAATTTTTTCCCAATATTCAATTTAAACTTCCCCTGAAGCAACTTGAAATCTTTCCTCTTGTCCTGTTGCTTGTTACCTGGGTGAAGAGACTGACCTCCACCTCCATCAGAGGAAATTGAAAGTGATCAACAAACCATCTACCTTGCACCCCATTGCCACAAACTCTCATGGAGGTAGAATCAAAGACTCTCTTCCATGTAAGCAATTTTATTGCCTGTTCTTAAAAACCTCCATTGAAAGAAACTTTGCAGATGCCCCGGGTGGCCTAATTCAAGGCTTTTAAATGTTACAGTTACACATTTTCTGTAATCACCAGCGTATTTATCTTTGCTTCAGATTGTGTGACTTCACTTCATCCTTCACCCAGCTGTCACTGTGAACACACATGCCAGTCCTTTACCAACTGACGGACTGTTGTTGTGTCCATCTTTGAGTCTTGTCCCGTCTAAACCGAACAACCTGTTCACAAGATTATACTCTGATCATGTCAGCCTTCACAAGGCTCTCCTTTGGATGCTCTCCAACACAGCAACATCCGGACACAGCACTCCAGCCAAAACATCAACAGCATCATGTAGAGCACTTCTGTTATCTCCCAGGTTCTAAATGAAAATATTTGATTAAAAAAAAACAAAAAACCCACACAAACAAACAAACAAAAAAAAACCCTAAGAATGAGATTTGCCTTATTTTGAACATCATCACCATGAATTTAGGTACCAATCTTTGAGTGGCTGAACACGCAAAATTCAGACTCAGAACTAATAAGAATTGCAAATGGAGTAAGAACCTGCAGTGTTCCTTCCGGCTTCTGAGAGCTTCTGGCATCTTTTTATGCATTTAGATACACAACTGGATTTGGTTACACAAATTTCTGAGGTTGGATTGTAAAGATGAGACTAAAGTGTTAATGGCCAGGACTGGAGTGAAGGTAGGTGAGTCAAGAGAGCTGTGTGTTAACCTAATTTCCTAGTTGTTTCCTTGTTAACTTTCACTTTGAACAGCATCTCTAAGGTTTGCACCTGTGTGGGAACATTACACTGGTCTACTTTGTTCGTGACAGATGAAATGTGTACACATGCTTTTGTAACCGCACATTTCCAGTGAATTTTAGGATCCACGTAGCTCTGCCTCATTTTGACTGAGTGCTTCTCATCCAGAGGAGGTGTCCTCTAACACACCTTTTGCTTGTTTTCCTGAGCCTGTGAAGGTTAAGTGCAGTCTCAGATGTTTAAACAAAAAATGTCCTGGGACTGAAACTTTAAAACTTTAAAATCCAGGAAGTTCACAGTTTCTGGTGACATGACAGTACGGGATTAATGAGTACAGGAAAAAACATCAGGATGATCAGGACATCCCCTGTGCTCGCATACCAAGTTGATTACATACCTAAAGCTCTGGCATTGTGTAATTTTCACATTCTTCTGCAAAGTAAACCAAGATTTCTCATACCTTTAGACTGCAGTTTGATGTTACAAGGTCTTGAGCAGAAATCATCTTTTAAGAAAGCCTTCCTGACCTTCTTTCCCATTCCCACACCCCAACATCCTGTTGGTTAAAATTGTTGAAAGCCACAGCAACACCAAAAAGAAGACACCAAAAAAGGAGGAGGGGGTGAGGGGAAAGGAGAGTTTAACTCAGACCAGTTTTCCAGTCAAGCACTGTCAGTGTGGGCACTGTGGATCCACTGCAGCTAACTCAGTCTAAGCCAAGCCTGTCCTCCTCTTCACCTCAGCCTCTGCACTGGCCCTGCTGCTTATCTAAACCTGCAAGCAGTCAGCCAAGGGAGCAACACTGGGTGAAAATAATGCAGCTTTTTCTGTAGGGATAGACTATAGACTCATGTTGAACAGCTTGCTAGGGCAGAAAGTAAGAGGTCCTCCTTGCCCTTATCATCCTGCCCTGTCTGCCAACCTTTGTTCCTTTCCCCTTCCCGTCTTGGGACCACTTATCTGCTCCTCTCCTCTCTCTGGCCTTGACACTCATTGGGCCCTTCCTTCTCTGAGCTGATTAGACTCACTCAGGTGAAAGCAAGCTCAACACTTTATTGCTGCTTTAGTTTCCTGTAGGGAGCATCAGTCATGCCAATTTAATCACCTTAAAACTACTGCAAAAGGCTGAGGTCTGACTCACCACATTGCAGGCAGCAGCAAGCGACCAGGTTTGCAGACAATGAGACCTATCTCATGGGTTAATCACTGCTTAAAAGATAATCCCCCACAACATGAGCTTAATCCCAGGCTTTTCCACAGACATTACACGAGCTCAATGTGTCACTGCTGTGGAAACAAATTCCATTGATGAACTGGTTGTGATCAAACACTGTACAGAGAAGGGCCCCATTGTTACTTGGACAGATGTCCCCTGTTTGTGCAGTGGGTTCTTGGCTCCACATTTTGTTCAGGGTAGAAACATACATAACACATCAGAATTGTCTTTGGTTTCTTGGAATTTCCTGCTCTTCCCCACCTTTCACAGTAGCCATCATAGCCATAGATCTGCATCTCTGCAGAGCTTCTCCAAGGGCATAAACGTGTGTCCCCAGAGTTTTCCAGGCCTGGCCCACAGTAAGCATGCTGCGAGCTCAGGCAGGGAAATCTTGGGGGTTTTCCTCCTCTATAACTTAAGTCAAAGCCCACAAACATTTTTTCATAGCTACAAAACATGATTTTGCTGCTTTCAGTCCTCAGCACCCTCTTTTGTCAGAACAAAGCAGGTGAGTAACAGCAGTGGAACAAGTTAGTCCACTAATCTGCAGATAAGACAGTGGAGGACTCAGATCTGTGCAGGGGGAAATAATGAGTACTACCTGATGAATGGTATCAGGAAATATCTTCTCTTAAAATGCCTTGTGGGTTTTCTGCAGTGGCATATCTGCTCAGACACACACTTGAAATCTGAGTGCAGGCTCTAGAGACAACTTCTTTTCCGGGCAGCAATAACTTGTTCAACTCATTATACAAGTTCCTGTGTTTTAATTTCTCTTTGAGAGAGCAGCCTGGGCTATTGTAGAAAGCAGAGGATGTTTAAGATGGATCTAATTAGAAGATCTTCTCTTTGAACGACCTGAGAAGGTAAATCATGTTGTATATCTGGGTGTTATCTTTATTTTCTGAAACATATGTGATGGTAACTATTGTGCTGGGTGGATTTGCAAGAGAAGGTGTAATTATTTTGCAACATTCATGAAAAAGAGAAGCTTAGAGGAAAAGTAAAAAGAAGGTCAAGTAGCTCACCTGTGTCCTGGGTTAAAGTGAGACTTTGCTATTTAGTTCTAAGAATCCTCTGCATTTTAGAATTAACTTTAAATAATATTTTCCAGCCTGAATGCTCTGGAGAACAAGAGACTTGGTAGTAAATTTGGCCTTTTAAGCTCTCTGAGGCTTTATAAATTGAAGTTACTTATTGCTTTTCAGGAGACAGTTTGTATGAAAAATGAGGAATGTGTGCACACAACTGCTTTACCCACTGAAGGCAGATATATACTTGGGAATTTGCTCACTGAAAAATTTACAGCAGCGCTTCATTCATTAAGAAATTAAATGAATGAGGGGGACAACCACATTACTTGAAAAGAACATTAATACTTTTCCCCATTTGCAATTTGTTTGTTAATTTTCTGGCTTTCTAGATTCCCGGCTGGGGATGTTTTGGAGTTTTAAATAGCTATCAAAGCCTGAGTAGCAGCACAGTTCTTAAATGAGTTGTCCTCTGTATGGTGTCTTACATATACAGTTAACAAGGCATTTGCTTTCAGCTATGTGGTCATACAAAGGATGTGTCTGAAAATAGAGGTGACCCACAACATTTGAATATGAACACAAGCTTGGGAACAGTGCAAAAGATAAATGCAAAACTGTACCAGATGTTGTTTAACCTCATCATAAATTTTGTTTAATGACCTTTTCCCCTTTCTACTGTCTGTTTCATCAACCCATCACCTATGTAATACAAGTTCTTTGTACAGATTAAACTATTTTACCACATGCTGTGAGCATAGCTGCATATACAAAGCTACCAGAAACCTTTGTTTTGTTAGTGCTTCAGTTATTAAGTCGTGCCACTGTCTCAGGGGCAGCTTATAATGTTTCCCTCTCGATCCACTTTGATCAGCTAGATCTATGGAAGTCTTGAGTTACAAGTGGATGATGTTTCCAAAATAGAAAAATAGTGTCTTTTGTGGAATGCTGGGTATACTGACAGACATGCCCAGGAAACTGAAAAAAAACCCCAACACCCTGTAACAGTTTTTTTTTAAATAGATTTTGGGGTGGGGTGGGAAGATGTTCTGAATCACTGTGATGTCCTGCTTTCTGCTTATACCTGTGTAGGAGTATAAGAGTAGCTGTGTTAGCTCAAATGTCTACATAACAATGGAGGTGTTTTGTTTGTTTGTTTGTTTGTTTGAATTTGTTTGGATTGTTTTGCTTTTGTTTGGGTTTGGTTTTTTTTGTTTTGGTCTTTCCCTCTGTTGCTATCCTAAAATATCTTCAAGTTAGTTTTCCTTTTCCAATTACATCTCAGAATTCAGTTGACATTTCTTCGGACCCCATTTCTGAGTGGCAATAGTCAGTTCAGAGCCCATCACGGAACACATAATGTCATGATCATTTCTTTCTGCCTTACACTTACCAGTGCTAAATTTTCATGAACTTCATGACTGAGTCACTCAGCATCCTGTGGCCCCAGTGCAGATCTTCATAGGCAGACTTTCTCAATCATGTAAAGTTTTTCACAGTGTTGTATTGCTGACTACTGCCTTTTCCACATCACTTGAGAACAGAGGGTAAGATACAGAGGCTTACACCACATTCCTGCAGAGCTCTGATGATGACATCTCTATATTGGAATAGAAAATAATTTATTCCTACTTTTGTTTCCTATGTTTCAACCAGGTCAGTATCCAGGTGAAGTCTCACTCCAGATGGATCTCCCTAAGAACCACATTCGGTGATAAATCCCTGCTGGATACCCACGCTGGTGACATCAAGTACTGTAACTCATTGCTGTCCTCTTTCAATTCCCAAGGTGAGACCACAGATCATTTTGATATTACAGTTTTCTGTCATGGTCTCTTCTGAGCTAGAAAGTCACAGCAAAGTGCCCTGCTTGCTTGGGAGCACCAGCTCTGGTGTTCAATAGTGGCAGTAGGCAGCCACTGCCAATGTTCATTATCATCTCAGGAGGTGCTGATTTTTCTGCTTTCACCTTGTGATTCACAGCCTTGCAAAGCCTGAGTTTGGATGAACAGCCTTTTCAATGCGAAAAGATCATGATTTTACAAAAGCTCATGGCTTTAATCAGGCTGCTGTTATCCTCTCAGGTACTGTTCTGTACTATTCTTAGGAGTCTTTTCTCAGTGTTTTCCTCTCTTAAAACGGTTTTCACAATCTGCTTGAGTTCTGCCTTTTTCTGTAGCTCTCTACTAACCATTAATTCTCAAGGTAGGGAAGTGCTTTGTTAGGAATAGCCGAAAGTGCATATTCATAGCAAAATATGTGGGTTTTATGTATTCTTTGCCTCCCATTTTCTATTCCCTTTGGTTGTATAAATGTGTCAGCATCTATTATGAAAGTCTGTGTTTGTTTTACCTTTCCCTTTGTTTCATCATCCAATCTACTGTGTGAATAAATTAGCTTAGGTATTAATGAGCTGGAAGAGCTGGGTTTTGATTTCAAGCACCACATTATGTTCTGGTCTGTCAGTATTCTTGGGTTCTGGGTTACTTATTTGTTAACTCCAGTGCAATTAATGGAGATGTACACTAAAAACTCAAGATAACAGGGATTTTTTTCCCCAGGAGATACCACTCTTCATTGTTTCCATTGTTATCCAAGGCATAAAAAACATGCAGAAATCTCTAGCTGAGCCCAGGGTGTTGGTACAGACCACTCCTGAGTGGGATACAGCTGGAAGCAGAGCTCTCTCTGCTGCAACGGAACAGGCCCTCACTTAACAGCAACATTTCTAGTTGTTCCCTCATGTCCTGACTGTGCATTTCCCAAGTACCACTGTGAGGAACACTTGAAGGTCCAAAGTCAACTTCCTTCATGGTGGATGGATTTCCAGCACCTCATTTGTCCTTGTTAGGAACCTGCTTGGGACTCTGCTTTCTCCAAGAGATTTCTTTCTCCTATTTTAATAGGTAGATCCAATATGAAAAAAGAAGAGGTATAAGGGAAACAGTCTGATAGCATTGGCAGAGGAATAATTATAGGCCTTGTTCCATGTCTTGTCCTGGATGGAGTGAACAGGCAGAGTGTGCTGAAGGAATCCGAAACACTGTTTCTCTAGAGTACGCTGGTATTTCCTACTGTGTGAGTCAGCTGAAAATTCCATTTTGTTTCATTGTCTTTTCAGGTCACACAGCAAAGTCACTGGAAAAAATGCCGTCCCCAATCACTGCAGGTCTCCACTGCCTGGTTCTGCTGGTCTCAGCCTCCTGCCAGACATCACAGGACTCAAACTTCAAACCATTCCCATATGTAGTGAGTATTCTTTCCCAGTCCCATTTAGTTCTCATTTGGTCTCTGTTTGTAGCACCCTGATGCTCTCCTTCACATCCACAAAACCTTGGAGGAAGTCAGGATAAGATCAGGTAGAGAAACTGAACCCAGAGTGTGTAAAAGAGAGGGAGAAATCCAGGAACTGGGCTCTTGCTCCCCAGTCTTAAAGCCTCTCCAGAAGGCACTGAAAAAAACACTTCTGGTTTCTCACCTGTTTTAGTCTGCAGGGGATTTCAGTTGCTGTCCCTGGAGCTAAGCCTAGGTAACAGTTACGTGGGCATTGCCTCTGGATGGAATTCACCCATCCTATGACAGAAGATCCAAATATATCTTGCCTAGAAGTGACATGTCAACAAAACTAGCTCAGGCACGAAGGTATTATAGGTGGGTGACAGGAATCTCACCACTGTCTTGACAATAAGATAAGTCCACAAGACCAAAATGCCACTCCTGAGTGATTTGTGTTCAGATGTTGCTCTTAGATTTCACTTCAGTTTCCCACTTTCTTGATAATCCTCACATACCTCTTTTGCTTCATCTGTAGTGTGAATTATGGAAAGCCGTTTTGTGCTTCATCCTGTATATGGGTTTGTTAACAGACAGTTTCTGCACAAATAGTCCCTAACAGAAAGAGGAACAGAGAAGCCAAGTTAGTGGAAGTTAATATAGTTAATATAGTCTGGTAAATAAAACTATCCCACAAATGTACCAACTCTTGGTCATCACTATTATTGTTTGACCAGAAAATACTTCTTTTCTTGTCTTCTCCATTGTGAGAGAATTGGGAGAACCTCCTTCACTGAGCAGGTTGAAAAATGGAAACATGAAGAGGAAGACAGAAACTCCTGTTCTTCCACTGTCCCCTGCCTTGGCAAACCAGGATATGTCTAGTTCCAGCAGCCTCACCTGCACTTCAGCAAGTGTCTAATAGTGACCAAGTATCTTGCTTAGTCTGCTTTTTTCAAGCTGTCTCCATCTCAGCACTCAGAGTTTTCATGAAAAAAAGCAACACCTTTTTTTTTTTTTTTTTTAGCAGCATTGATCCATGGTACACCCTGCAAATGAGTCATTATTTAATGGTGTGAAATATGTGAAGTATTTAGGAACTTAGCAATACCCTTCAGTTGTTTGGGAGAATAATTGAAAAAGGAAACCACTGAGTCCAAACCTGGAGCAAGACATGGATTGCAGTGGGATTTCTGTAATTCTTGCAGCCAACCTCTAACACGAAGGTCATACCCCAGCAGTGCAAGAGCTGCCAGAGCGCCTTGGGATTTTCACTCTGGCACAGCTGCGACGCAAAGCCCAGCTCTAATCACACACCAGATGGTTCCTTTATGTAAAGAGATGACTTAAGAGTTGCCAAGCTATTCACCCTTTCTGTAAATAAAGGTTTCAGTAGGAATCAAGAAACTGGCAAAGCTGCAAATTTCCTGCCTGTGTCTGTGCTTGTTCTTTAGCCTTTCTTGCTAACGGTGGTGCCAGTGTATTTTTAGGGCATGATAATAAAAAGATAAGATGGTCTGCATCTGACTTGGCTGCAGCCTGCATAAACCAGTCATATTGAAACTGTGCCACCACTGCTCTGGTCAACTGTGTGTTACTGATGGCCCCAAAGTAGCTGACCTGGCAACTGAGCTGGAGCCAAGACTTTTCAATCCCCTTTCTTTTCCTACTCAGGGTGGCTTTGCTGCTGCAGAGGTGGAAGCTTAGAGCAAAGAGGAAAGAAAAGGGTGATGAGAGTCTGGTTTCTGGATGCAAAGGCCAAGTGGCTGGGTTTCCCAAGCAGTGGGACCACCCCCATAAGGCTGGCCCAGGATTAGGGGCACATATCCGTCCCATAGCAGGGATTGCAGCTCAGACACAGAAATCCTTTTAAGCTGGGGCAGTTCCCTTGCAGAGATATGCAAAGAGGCATCTGCAGTCTCAGTACACCCCTCAGCTGGTGTTTAACACTCCTCTGCTAGGAAAATAGAAATATTTTGTTTAAAGAGGGAGATGGGGTGGGAGGTTGGAGGATTGGGACCAGGGTTGATGGGAAAAAATTACTTATGTCAGTGTTTTCTTCCCTAATTTCTTTTGCCAACAATGGCAGCTAAGGCTTTACTCTGTTCTTCTCACAGAGCTTCACTTTCTTTTTTTCCCACAGATTGACAGCACTCTAGGAGAGGAAAGCTTCCACCCAGATATGCAAAGGCAGAAGCGAAATGGTACGTGCACAAATGTGTGGTAACAGAGCAGGTTTCTTGTAAACTGAGGGTGAAATCACTGTTAGGGACAGCATCTACTGATGGACTGAACTGGGAACATCAAGGGGGAGGTGTTATTGTGCTCTAACCCCAACAAAGCACCACAGTGCCACTCACTCACTCTCCCTCAATGGGATGTGGAGCAGAATCAGAAGGATAAAGTGAGAAAAACCATGGGTTGAAATAATGACAGTTTGCTCAGTAAAGCAAAAGAAGGATTCATTTGCTACTTCCCATTTTCGGGCCGGTTTTCAGTCATCTCCAGGAAAGCAGAACTCTCCAGGTCCCTCTGGATGGCATCCCTATGATGACATACATCAGCACAGCTTCTATGCTAGTTGAAATACCAGTGTAGAAAACACCCTCCCCAATCTTCTTAGTAGGACAGGGGCCACAGGATAATCCTGTATCGCCTCAGTCTGTGGCTGACAGCCCATCCACTTATTGACTCAAAGGAGAGAAGGGATGAGACAGTTTTTCTCTGTATATATTATGCCACTTATATCCTTTTCCTATTGCTCTGAGACCAAAGAAACCTGGCTTTTCTCAAACAAGCAGCAGATAAAACAGGGGCAGAGTGTCTTCTGAGGGGGAAGCAAGAAGATTTCCCAAGCAGAATGCCACCAAAGTTACCATTAAATAGCAACAAAGAGCCCAAATGCCAAATCAGTTTGTGATTTACCTTTAAATACAGCAGTAATATTGCAGTGTCATTCTATTTCTCTTTCAGAATACATTTTTGACGTTCCCCTTCCAGAGTACACAGTTGACATTGAAGTAAGCCTTACAGATTCATCTTACCTGCAGCCAATTAAAGAGTATTTTAAAAATCTTACACTTCCAACAAACATTTCAAATATACAAACGACAGTTTCAAGCATCCACATTACAACAGGTGGGTTGGTTATTGATTTTAATATTCTGGATGATGTGTTATTTTGTCAGTATTTCATGCCTCCCAATTCTACCACCCGGCCCACTTAGAAAATCGGCAAAACTGAACCATCTCTGCTGCCTGCTGAAAGACCCAGCTAGAGTGAAGCTCTAACCCGCAACAACGTTTTGTTATCTGTGTCTTACCACTGCTCTTTAGATAATGTTGGCATTAGGAGTAGCTCTGAGTGCTTTTCTTTTCCTAAGGAAGGGACAAAGCCGGAGGAAGCCTGAGCCAAAGGATCCTGCTCCAGTTTGGCTAACAAGCAGTCTGAGTTACTTTCAAGTTTCAGGAAGCTGGGACAGCGGTTATCAGACTGTTTACTTCCCTCCTCCTGTATTTGGGACGTAAATCGCTGTAAGAGGCTGTACCCTGACCCTGACAGAGACAGGCTGCATGAGAGGCAGTCTTTTCCTGTATAACTCACTTAACTTATTCTTATAGGGCATGATATCAGGCAGGTCTCATTACATAAACTGGGGTTGTGCAACATCGTATCTGAGTAACTAGTGCAAACACACCAAGCATTTACAACAGTAGAGGGGATTGGGTACCTCCTTATCACTGGCCCATAAAGCAGTGAAAGGAAGTGTTTAGCAGTTCCCAAAACAGCATGCAAATGGATCTTTTAAAGGCCTTCTAGGTCACATGCAGTGTGTAAAAATAATTTTGTTAATATCCTACTTTGCAAATGACATATTAGGAGCAGAAAAAGTTGCAGTCAAGTTGGGATTTTTTTGTTGGTTGGTTTCTTTTTTTGAGTGCTTTAAAGCACTTTGTGATAATGTTACCTGCTGTCACAAAGCATCTGTCAGGACATAGTCAGAACAACACAACAGCCTGGACTCTGAATGACCTTGCTCTTACAATCTTTAAAAGCTGATATATTTGCTTTTCCCCCAAGTAACACAGAAATATCCAATCTGAAAAGTATCACAGGGCCCTGGCCAGTATGCCAGGCAAATTTTTAGGATCAGGCTTCACATTTCCATTCAGTTACTTAAAAATAATTGATCAGGCTTATCACTGTATCAGTGTGGTTCCCATTTCTGTTTAGTGATTTGCAACTAGTAGAGTAAGATTTGCAAGTCTTCTGGTCATCCTGTTTGCATCATTCAAGTGAACTCCCAGGAAGGGCAACATTTAATTGGGACCATCATCATGAAGATACAGGAAAGTAAATACTTATCACCGTTCTCATGGTATTTCTCTGTCTGTCTGTCTGTCTGACAGTCTGTCTCCCCAGTGGTGAGAAGAGCAGCTGTTGTTCCTGTGAAAAGGGATATGCCTGGCCGAGCCGGGTGTGCAGTGACATAATACCCTGCCCTTCTCTCAGCCTGGAACCTGCCCTGCCCTGTGGCTACATGCAGAAAATGCCTTTCTACGGACCTTACTGTGAGCCCCAGACTGAAGGTAAGGGGACACAGAGCTGAACTCCATCACTGTGCAACTCATATACTGGTTAGAAGTCAGAATAGTGCCAAAAGGTGGGAAAAAACAGCATGTCAGGACTCAGCTGACTACCACATTGTCTGTGAATGTGGAAATTCTGTAGAGATGGTCTAGAGCTCTTCTTGTGATAGGGGCCCACCTTGACCCAAATTACTTGCAGATATTTAGTGCCATTTGGAGCCCCAGCTCCTGGAGTCACTCACATGCCTCTTTGTGACTCTCTGCTTTTGCTGAGCAAAGAAAGTTTCATCTCATCAGATTTTCACACATGTGACCAAAGTGTGCCATAGTCCTCAAGAGAAGAGAAGGAACTAAAAAGCCCAGCACGTCTTTGGTTTTATTTCATGACTCCCATGACAAAGTGCCCAGGAGTTTCTAGGAACCTGACTGATGACTGGTGACAAAAGGATGGACACTTAGGCCTGACAACACTGGGGTGGAGCACTAATTGTTGTCCCAGCTATCCAAGACAAACACCCATGAGGCTTGGCTTCTTATTTGTGATGGAGCAGCATGCAGAGATACCCAGAGGCAGCACTAGATGTGGAAGCAGTCCAGTACTGTCAGCATGCCCATTCTAATCAACTCTGCTTAGAGGGAATGCTTTTATCACCAGGCAGTCCCATATCCATATTGCCACAGTATTTCCAGGACTAGAGGTAATACCTGTTTCATGTAGAGGTTGCATACCCCTTAGAAGTCCAGGCCCCTGGATCCAGAGCTCCTTCACACGTGGTATGGACGTGTCCTTAAATGAACCCAGCATAGAAAATTCCAGTATCTCTCTAAGCATTTTATATAATTTTGTGCTCACTGATGAGTCCCCACCTAGAATATTACCCTCCCAAAGCACTGGGGATTTTTCCATTCATTGCAGGGAAACATAGGTGGAGATTCATCCTGTGTACCTTACATTATGTGAAAGTTAAGTCTCTGATCAAAGTTATTCATCCATATAACATCATCATATCTAGAGCAATGTAGGAATTCAACCATTGCAGGAAAGCTATCACCTTCTGGATGTTTCATCTTCTAAAGATGTCTACAGCTTTGCATCAACTGGAAAGGGAGTCTAGGTATCTAGCAGATGGCAAGCACCTAAATTAGAAATAGAAAATTAGAAGAATCACAACTTTCTTATTATACAGATGAATCTTGGCAAGTTGTCATTATTTTAAACTGAAAGGGGGTAGATTTAGATTAAATTTAAAAGGAAAATTTTTAAGATCGGTGTGATGAGACACTGGAGCAGGTTGCCCAGAAAAGTTGTGGATGCCCCATCCCTTGAAGTGTTCAAGGCCAGGCTGGTGAGTTGGACTTGATGATCTTGGAAGGTCCCTTCCAACCCAAATCATTATATGATCCTAAGATTATTAAGTTAGAAGAAAAGGCTAAGAAATCACTTTGTAAGCATTGCTTTTATTATTTTACCTTTATTTCACTGTCTTTCCTTACAGACTCATGTGGTATGGGAGAGCCCATTGTAATGTATATGTCAGTCAGACTTGACATAGACTTTCTGGATGATCTCAGGGATTCTTCCTCTGTATTATACCAGAAATACAAAGCTGACCTTGAAAAAGCGGTAAGGACTTTAGTTTTTCATCTCTGAAGGTAGAGAGCCCTCTAAGAAATACGGCGTTTACCCTAAGTGTCTGGGATATAGGGTCACTGTCTGTGTGGGGAGGTGGGAAGTGCGCACCAGTGGGAGATACAAGGTGGGCCAAAACTGACTGCATTGAAAGGAATAACAGTATTCCCATTGGTTTTAATGCACTGGCCAACCAGGAAGTATTCAGGGATCTTTTCTATCTAAAGCATGAAAAAAAAAAAACCCACAATATTTGTCCTAGCTTAAATCCATGGGAACACACATGGATTGAATCCATCAACAGATATTTACCCCATGACAGTGGTGAGAGCACCAGGCCCATTCTATGAGATGTGCTACGTGCCCATACTCACATCAGTCTTGTATGGAAGGTTTCCTATTTTAAGCACATTGGAGTAATACACAGAGCACTTACCTCGTGTCATATGTCTTTGTTTACAGTTTAATGCAAGCTACAGGTGTTTACCAGGCTTTGTATCGGCAACAGTAACTGGTTTCAGGTAAGTAAATGGTTTCATTTTTTCCTGAAGACATAACCTTTCTGTCCAGAAATCTTTCTGTCTCAAGGAGACACAAGTTAGCAAAGGCTACATTCACTCTGGCTGGAACCCATTCCCACTATACACAGACTGAATAAGAGTATAAATGTTGAAAAGGAAAGCCCTGCTATGAGCATGGAAATAGGGTAAAATTCGTCACTTTGCAGAAGTCCAAGAAACATAATCATTCTCCATCTGGTTCAAAGCCTTTTATGGGAAAAACTGAGTTCCACCCAAAAGGGGAAAAGGATGCGAGTAATCCTCACATCATTTCCTAGGTCATGAGGAAGATGAATTAGTACATTGACTCTGGATGCAACACTGGATAAAAGAGATATTACTTGTGTCCACAGATATTTAAATGCAGCTGCATTTTAGGTTTTCTAAGGGAAGTTTACTAGAAATATACACCAGACGAGAAAGACATCACATAAGGGTGTTTGTTCTTAGGAAAAAGCTGTAGCACAACCTTCTTGTATATCAGAGCAAGTCTTGAGTCCCAACAGGAGCCTTCACAGGTGAGCCCAGTGAAGCCTTCTCAGCCATACAAGATGGGTCACCACAAATAGAAAACCAGTAATAGACAAGGATATTTGATTCTGATGCTTTTCTCATTCTTATATCTGTTTAGTCCTGGAAGTGTTTTTGTGAAATATGAAGTAAAAGCAGGACCAGCAAGCGCCAATCAGATTGATAAATCCAACAAAGCTGTACTACAAGTTCTAGAACCATTCTACCAGCCCAAACCATCTACCTTCACAACAGAAGTGCCTTGTAAGTTAAAGCTCTCTCGGTACTTTCCTTCAACTTCTACTTTAGTATTTTTAGCCTTAATCAAGCTTCCTTATACTGTTGATTATTTGGTACACAGCCTTCAAAACTATTTATTTCTCTGGCTGTTTCTCTTTACCCTTTGTCATCAAAACTTAGGACTTTCATGAGAGGACCACGCATGCAGTACCTTCCATGAAAAACCAAAGCCTTCCAGTTATTCCACTGGACTTGATCATAGAAGTCTTTTCCAGCCTGAACTATTCGATGATCCCTGATGCCGTGTCTCTGAAAGGGAGAGAGACTGAACACCCCTAAGCTCACCTGAAGAACTGAGACAGCTCTTAGCATGTCAGGCTGCCAGCACTTCCCTAGAGCAAAATCAAAACCTCTTGCAGTTTGCATGAGAACACATTGCCCTTGGCTTCCTTGGCACATTTTCCATGCTGCTGCTGGACAGTGTGTTACAATTCAGTTGCCTTATCAAGTGTTCCAGAGGTGCTGTAGTCTCAGAGTGCTGGAATGTCTGTCTGAGAGGATTACTTCAACCTGGTTGCTTCTCCTCTTGGTTTATCTACTTAGAAAGCAGTGGCGGTGATATTTCTAGCTCTCTGCATGAAACCTGCTGGGATCTTTAGCTGAAAAAGACAGTAAAAGAATATATAGAGGGAAAATCTCAAGGCTTGTATCAGAGGTAGTACCCTGCAACTGTTGCTGGGTGCGTATTAGTTGTGAAGCACCTGGGAACCCCCTAAGATAAAAGACACCACATAGTCTTGAGATGAAATTACAGTAATGCAGAATGTTTCTCTCTGTTTCCCCAGATCGTGTAAACTTCAAAGCGGAACCTTTGAACATTTTTGAAGGGGATACAGTAACACTGACTTGTGAGATAAATTCAACGTTTCACAGTGCGACCTGGTATCACTTTGATCAGATCATCTCAACCAGCTTCCGGCATTCGATAGAGACAATCGTAGGAACCAGAAGGTCGATTCTTAAAATCACCAATGTTACGATGGAGGATTCTGGTATGATTTTATATCATTAAAACAGCAGCTGTAACCTCTAGTTATTGTGGCAGTTTTGGGCACCACAGTATAAGGAAGATATTAGGACATTAGAGAGGGTCCAAAGGAGGGCAATGAAGATGCTGAAGGGCCTTGAGGGGAAGCTGTGTGAGGAGCAGCTGAGGGCACTTGGTTTGTTCAGCTGGAGAAGAGGAGACTGAGGGGAGAGCTCATTGCAGTTACAACTTCCTGGTGACGGGAAGCAGAGGGACAGGTATCGATCTCTTCACTCTCATGACCAGTGGCAGCACTGGAGGAAAAGTGATGAAGCTGAATCAGGGGAGGTTTAGGTTGGATATAAGGAAAAGCTCCTTCACCCAGGGGGTGGTTGAGCACTGGAACAGGCTCCCCAGGGAAGTGCTCACAACACCAAACTTGACAGAGTTCAAGAAGTGTTTGGACAACACTCTCAAGCACGTGATTCCTGGGGATGGTCCTGCTCAGGGCCAGGAGCTGGACTCAGTGATCCTGATAGGTCTCTTCTGCTCAGGACGTTCTATGATAAATACTCTGCTCTCTTTGGCAGTACCTTCTGAGCAGCTAAGAGCCTACGTTCCAAGGCCAGTTCTAGTGGAGTCCACCCTGGGCACTTAATCTCTCACCCCTTTTGTGTAGGAAACTTTTGCATAGTCTACATTCTTACCATGACATATTGATGCCAGAAGGACTCTGGGCAATATACAGGTCCCAAAAGCACCAAGTCCACAAGATTTAAACTATTTCAGTCCCAGCACACTGGTCTCTTTTCAAGTACCCCTCAACATTACCCCTCTTAATCTGGATGTATATGGCACCAGAAGTCTGCAGAAAACATCCTGCAGGTGACCTGAGGGTACATGTTGATCAGCAAGTAGCAAAGCCACTGCAGAGCAGGGAGATGTGAAAACTAGATATGGAAGTAGATCCTAATTCCAAATATAGAGGCAAAACCAAAAAAACTGTTCTCAATGCTAAGACACTGTCTATGCTTTACAGGTTCCTATAAATGCACTTTCACAAATGCCAGTCAGTCTTACAGATTGAAGGCCACAGAAACAATATTTGTCTCTCCACTACGTATTACTCCAAATGTAAAGGAGATGGAAGTTATATGTAACAGTCCTGAAACGCAGAAGAACAGCCCTCAGCTGTCCTGTTGCATTGACAGACACTTACCATCACTTAATGCTTCCTGGAAAGTAAATGGAACAATCAATATTACAGGTAAGATTAACAAAAGGCTGTCTTTCACCTGCTAGGTTTGTTTGTGGTTTAAAGATCTCCTCCTAACTAGCTACCACAGAGTCGTAGGATAAATACAGGGTATGCTCCAAACATCTGGCAGGAGGAAGTACAAGCTCCATATGTGCTGTGCAGGTGCCAGTGGGGTTCTGGGTGTCTCCACGCACTGTGCAGACATTGATGCCTTAAACTGTGACATCCTGGATGGACACAGCTGCCTGGACCAACATCACACCAACTGCTTCTAAAAAGCTTATTTCTGCATTGTCTAATTTTGGGAGAAAGGATGGGTGCATCACTCTCTACTACTACCTCCAGAATCACCTGTGGGGTACAAAGAGCTTCTGTGTTCCACATACCACGATTTAGCAATGATTTAGAGAGGCAGGTGCTTTGAAACAGCTGCAGCACAGCTAAATACTGAGAGCACAGTTCCCCTCTTCACCTGTAGCTGTGATTCAGCACATACCAGTTGTGTCAGTGGCAATCCATAAGGCATTGCTTCTAATATAAAGAGTTAATAAAGGACCAGGTAAACGTGCCACGAAGAGTTACAAAATGACACGAACAGGAATGCTCATAAATGTCTACTGAACCATCATCCTAAATGGTCCGTTGCCCTCACAATATTTTATGTGTATAAATTAGGTGTTTATTGTTAACTTTTTGCTATAAATAAAATTTAGCAGAAAGTAGGACAGCAAAATCAGATAAAACCTTCAAAGCTCATGCACACAGTCATTTCCACAGAGAACAGGTACAGCAGTGCTTGCAGAGAGGGAGAGGGGGATCCTGGCCTTCTGCAATGAGCTGTTTTGCTCTTAATTCCCTGGTTCAGGCTTTCCCTCAGGAACTCTGCTGTGCTTTCGTGCCAGATGCACTGTCAGCTGCAGCACAGGACAGCTTTACTGCTTCCAGCTAAACCATCACTCTTCAGATTTAAAGTCAAATGACTGTCAAGTACCTACAAATTTTTATTTCAAAATTAGATGATGTTAACATCTGCAGTATTTACTCCTGGTTTACTTACCTTTACTCATCCTAAATATCACAGATAATGAGGTTCTGCCCTTTGTTTTGCCTTACCCTGGGATTTCCAAGCAATGCTGTTGCTCTCTGACTGGTTTTGGCAGTAGGTGCCCAGCTCTGTGCTGAGATTCATCTTCAGGCACTTGGAAAAACACTTTGAGTGTTGCCAGAATAAAAGATGTGAATGAAGCTCAGCAACGAGGAGTTAAAAGTGCCATGCTTTTAATTACATACAAGCCCCTAAGGGTTTCTTTACCTAGAGTGATTGCTTCTAATTTCCAGAGGTGGTTTTGGACATCTATAACCCTTCAAGGGGTGTTTATTTCTCTCTAGGAGTCTCCAGTTTGGGTGGAAACTGCACTGAATACGAGCTCAAAATCGAGGAGTCGCTGTGCCCACCTGAGAAGTCAGGTACAGTGACAACATATACGTGTGAGCTGCAGACTCAACACGGAGCCAGGGCCAGTCAAACCATCAGAGTGAGGTACCTCTGGAAAGGTGAGAGTCCGGTGGCTGTGACAGACCAGCAGCTCTTTAACATGTGGATGGCCTCTGTGGCACATGGCATTTGCAAGAAAATGGTTAGAAGTGACTCTCAGTAATGTGACTTTTGTCTTGTGTTGTTGTCTCAGCCCATGTAACAATATCTTCAAGCACAAACTCACCAGTTCCCGAGGGATATCCGTTCAATCTAACGTGCGAAAGTGATGCGAGCAGTTGTGACAGTATCAGTTGGAAAATCCAGTCTGGAAGTGACACAAAAACAGTGGCCTGTGATATGTGCATCAAAAATAGCAAATTCCCAGCCACATCTGTGCTCACAGTGAGGTCTGCCACACAGGACTGGAGCGGTGAGTGAATATGCTGTTGGCTACAAAGGCAATGAAACCTCTGTGCCAGATCATTTTCAGCATCCCTAGCCCTGCAAATCAGTGTGGAGGCCACAGTAAATGAAAACCCCACAATTAAAACTATAAGTGCTGGAGGACAGCAGGGCGTGATGCTGCCAACAGTGCTGGACTTGTTCAGCATTAGGGCTCATCACCATGCAAAACCTCAGGAGCACTTCTGTCGACTGAAACACGTTTTCTTTGTATCACTTCTTTTAGGCACCCACATCTGCACAATCTCCCGGCAAAACTTGGAGAGCTCTGCCAATATGACCATCGAGGTTATTTCCTTGCCCCTGAAGCAGAACATCCTGATAGACCCCATTGCAGCATCGATACCTTGTGGAAAGCCACAAGCCCTCGAGTGCTGCATAAGTGCAAACACCACGGAAGATTTCTCTGTTACATTTGTGATTGGACAAAATGGATTTCCAGCTGGTAAGATGCAATAAACTTGCAGAATCATTAGTTTCACTATATGTCATAACCCAGTCTCTGGGTTTTTTTGTTTTCAGTTAGGTCTGTGCAAGCAATTCATACTTACTGCTTTTATGACAACCCACAAGTACTCCTGAGGGTGTAAAAAAAGGGAAATGGACATTTTTTTAGGATGGTTGGCATGCCTGAGGAACATGGCTGGGATTAATAGAAGAGCAACTGAAACCACTGCTGTAGTGATAAATACATAATGGATAAACTCAATGTTTGGCTTGACTTGGCAGGCAGGGAGAAATGGGAATTCTTACCCTTGTTCAAATTAGAAATTGCTGAAATCCATTTGTTTGCTTTTATCTTTGCCACTTTTTTTGAATGGAGTATTGAGAACATGTTACTTTAGAAAATCTACTAATTCACAACAAATGTAGACTAATCTATTGAATGCAATTCAAAGAACTGTTTTCTTTGAGGATAAAGGTAACATGTCTTTAACAGCACAAAAGCCCAAGTTTCTACATCTTAAAATTTAGGGCAATTCTGCAACTTCACTGACGTATTTTTATATACCATAAGTTTTCGAATGAGTGGGTTTTTATATACTAGAAGTTTTCAAGTGAGTTACAAAACAGTTAATTTTAAAAAAATCAGAAAACAACATGCAGGAGTACAAAAACAACAGGCTGAAGAGTAAAGTGGGTAGAGACTGAGGAGTCCTTTGGTAGCTAAGAAAAAACTCAAGATCTTCTTGGAAGAAACTGCAGCCAGGTGCCCTTAGGCACAGGTACTGAAAAGCAATGGGTACAGATCCTGAGTTCGAAAGGGCCAAAAAGTATCCTAGCCTAAATGAAACGCCTGTGGTAGAGGCAGGAAGAATATTCTCCAAAATTATTTCCAAAACAAATTTTGGTTCCTGAACAGTTAAAAGGGTTTGGGAAGGATTTGGTCATGCACCAGTAAGAGGAAATATATTGATCATGCAGCAGCTTCCATTTATTCAGTAGGGAGTTAGAGATTAATGTACAGAGAGGGAGCTTTTTCACAAAGGAATTTTTTTGGTAGGACCCACAGAAAAGAAAGTTTTGCTGAAGCTTTCTGCTGTTTTCAGCTGATTGACCCCAAATCTGTGTTAACATGTCTTCATCCATCCATACAGGGAAAGAGAAAAAAGGAAATTTGTTTTGCTACACGTACAGTTACACAGGAAGTGACTGTAGCAAAGAGAAAGAGCTCACGGCATATTGCAAGTTTAAAAACAGCAAGTTTGAAAATCGACAGGGAGTTGACAGTGAACATATCAGACTGCACCTGATACCTGGTAAGGAAAAAGTTACTATTTATAGCTGTTAAATTGGTGGTCCCATTGTCTTGGTTAAATCAGATGCCACAAATTCATCATCACTGACATCTTACAGGAACAGTTTTTGTTAGCTAAGAATTTTTGTCTTTTTTTTTTTTTTTTTAATGGGAAATTTTTACATACGAAGGAAAACATCAGTTTTGATGTAATTTAAAAAAAAATAAATAGACAAGGTGTTCTGTCTTCGCTGTATTTGTCAGTGATCCCAGTACGTTCAAAGCAGCAATAGTTTAGTCATCTTCTGTCCCTACTTCCTTCTGGTGCAGGCTGCACCACCCAGTATCATCCTGTGTTGAAATGCGGTCATGCATCTCCCAGCTTGCACCAACAATTTATCAAAGATCAAAGGTTTTGGAGTCTCAGGAAGAAGTCATCTGGCTCAAGAGGTCATCCTGTGGGAGAGCATATCCACTTGGATCACAAGAAGGACAACCTCCATGAGATGCTGAAGGGACCAGGGCAGACCCAGCTTCCAGTCAGCTCTGTGGGGAATGTTCAATAATTAGAATTCAGCATCACTAAAACCATCTTCGATGTTTAGTTCTGACAAGAGTTTGGATATTTCAGCTTTTTATTCTAAATTGGAAAGAAAGTAATGTTGGCCATTCCTATAAGGCAGAAATTTTGGTTTTTCCGCAGTAGTGGTGCCTACAGTTGAATCAGTGTATCTGCCAGATTTCACTCCCCTGGGGCAATAAATATGCAGACACTTTAATTACTTTAATCAGCATACACTGATATGACTAACCCAATCAAAGCCAATTAGCAGGACTCACTGTTCATCAAAAAGGTGTTGAGGCCTCACTACTGAGGTCTTAATGAATTTCCTATTAGTGCTACAGCAGCACTGAGTCCCTTAGCAGAACAAACTTTGTATGAATTATTGTTCACTTAGTGGTCAATATAATATCACTCCACCTCTGTTCAACCCTGTGATCTAACAGATAAATCCTAAAACTTTGGATATTGGTTTGTTGATTTGATCCAGTACTGAAAAACAGGAGCTTTATTAGTTATCTTTTTAATTTCATTATTCATAAAAAAATTGGGAATGCAAGACATCTACATCCTGAAAGGTTGTAATTAATGAAGAGAGGTAGCTGAAATCATGATTTAAAGACCTCTGAACTTCAGGAAGTCACAGGTTTTATGGGGTTAATTTATTAATCTCTCTGCTTCTTGTTTTCTACCTCTATGACAGACAAGCAAGTTTCCTGCTCAGACAGATTAGGCACTGGACTAGAAAGGGGAACATTGATAAAGCCATGCCGTGAGTTAGATAATCCAGATGGTTTTACCCGAGGCAGTACAACTTACAAGTGCATCAACAACTCATGGAAGGTCGCGAGGAACGACTGCCTGTCTGTATCAATAAACAACATGCTGAGTAGAGCCGAGGTAACATCTGTGAGTTTTCTAGAGGTTGGGGTGGAGAGGTGGTGGGGGGAGAAGAAAGAGCAAAAATTTTTGTTGCCTGAGTTTTGCTTATCATAATCTAAAATATATTAAGCATTAAAAACTTTCTTTTAAAAGCTGGAGAATGTTTGGCTATATCTACACAAGTCAGTGGAAGAGGCAAGGTCCCCTCCTCTGGCCTAGAGGCCATGTGGCACTGCATGGCTGATATCCACACACATGAATGCTCTGTCTCCCAGGCAAGGTGACCTTGTTCGTAGCATCCATAAGGAGCAGTTGCTGGCCTGGAGTGTTCCCTGAGCTGTGCTCAGGGACTGCCTCGATGGACACTGTTTGGCACAAGCCCAGACCAAGCTGCACACCAACTACTCCAGGCTACTGCCCAACCTCAGCCCCAGGCCCTGTTTATAATGCCAACTCCCCTGGTCAGTTCACTTTATGGACAGGTGCCAGACTTCTGTTTTCAGCCTTGGTATCCTACTGTAGTGCTCTTTATTTCATCCAGAGTTACCTTTCTCTTAGTGAGGCTAGAGAGGCAAATTTCCCATGTGTGATGTACTGTTATCTTCTGTTCCAGTCCTTGGTCAACAGCCCCGAGTCAAAAGCAAAACTACCTAACTACCTTGCAGAGCTTAAGGAACAGATTGGAAAGGAGATAAACACAATAAACAGTTCTCCTGCAAACTTAGGTGCAATCGTTTCCATCCTGGATATGGTCTCCTCTATCCCAGCAGATGCAGACGAGCTCACTATTCAGGTAAGGTTTTATTTTAAGCCTTACCTACACCTATCAAGCCATTTGGCCCCTTTTGTCACAGGGGATGACATTCTTTTTGAAGAAGTTTCACAGTTAGTTAGGATCAGGAGCAGGAAAGGAAGGGAATGGGGTGAAAGATACAGAGGAATTTGTAAAAAGTCAAAATTATGAGGACAAGAAGCCTATGCATGAAAGAGAGGCTGCTGTGTGCTTAGCAACTAGAAATGTTCTAGGGACCCACAAAAGTCTCCAGCATTCTAAGACATGGTTTGGATTATATATTAAATTCCAGGAACCATGATCAAGCAAGGAAAAGAAATCGGATGTTACAACAAATGAATAACAAAAGGAATCTTAGAAATAGTTGGGAACCTTGATTGTGAGGTATAGAGGAAAAGCACCGTTCTTCTAAACAGAAAAGTGCAAAGAGACTTGATGGTTTGTAGATGGGGGACCCTACATGACAGAGACCAAGAAATCAGATAGCACAAAGGCTGAGAAAGAAGGGAAAGAATGTTGGAGAAGAAAAATACTAAGTAATATGTAAAAAGGAATAGTCATTAACATTTGGAAACCTTAATTTGAGAACAGAGCATGCAGAAGGTTAACAACTGAAGGTTTCACATGGATTGAGCAAAATAAGAAAATGCTGGGCTTTTTCAAAAAGCGTTCTTGAACCATGCATAAATTACCATCAGAAACAACAATGATTTGTGTAGCATTTCAATAACTACATTATTCTATTGTTGTTCCAGAATTTCCTCTCCACAGTGGACTTAATTGTTGGTGATTCCACAGCTGAAGCCTGGGAAGACCTGAATAAAGAGAAGACACTAAAAAGTTCTTTGTTACTGCAGTCAGTAGAAAACTTTTCCCTCCGCCTCCGACCAGTTAATAACACCATCCCTTCGGTCTCTGCAAACACTGTGCAGCTACAAGGTATAGTTATCCAAGAAAACAGCAACACAGATTATAGTAAGGGCTTCCGCAGTACAGAAAACCTCACAGTTAATGTGCTCATTGGCGAAACTGAAATTCAAACTCTAACCCAAAATTCAACCATTGTCAGTGTGATGTACTCGAAACTTGGACATATTTTGCCCCGGAATGAGTCCGAATATGTGAACGGCTTATTGATAACAACAACTGTGAGCAGCAACAGAAGCCAGAAGTTTGAGGTTAATATGACATTTGCAAAGAAAAACTTGTCTCTAAAGATGCCCAAATGTGTCTTTTGGAACTTCACACTCAACAAACGCGGTGGGGACTGGGATACTCGTGGTTGCACACCCACGGAGTTAGAAGATTATGTCATTTGCTCCTGCAGTCACTTGACATCATTCTCCATTCTGATGTCACCCGATAAATCCTCCCAGCTAATCTTTGAAGATTATATTTCCTACGTTGGCCTGGGTATTTCGATCCTGAGCTTGGTGATCTGCATTATAATTGAATCCTTGGTCTGGAAATACGTGACGAACAACACAACCTCCTACATGCGCCATATCTGTATAGTCAACATAGCTGCATCCCTCCTGATTGCTGACGTGTGGTTCATTGTCACTGCCTCCCTCAATGACCAAAACCAACAGCTGAGCAGAGATATCTGCGTCATGGCCACGTTCTTCATCCATTTATTCTACCTGTGTGTCTTCTTCTGGATGCTGAGCCTGGGCCTCATTCTTTTCTACAGACTGGTGTTCATCTTGCATAACACAAGTAAGACTGCTCAGAAAGCAGTGGCATTCTGCCTGGGATATGTGTGCCCCTTTGTCATTGCAGTCGTCACCATCGCTGTCACGCTGCCAAGGAACAATTACACCAGGAAGGATGTCTGCTGGCTCAACTGGATGGACAGCAAAGCTCTCTTGGCCTTTGTCATACCTGCCTTGATCATTGTGGCCATGAATTTGTCCATCACTGCAGTTGTTATAATAAAAATACTGAGGCCAACTATTGGGGATAGGTCAAACAGGCAGGAGAGGAACTCTTTGTTTCAAATTGGCAAAAGTGTGGCCATCTTGACTCCACTGTTAGGCCTCACCTGGGGGTTTGGCCTTGCCACCATCATCAAAAACAGTCATCGAGCTTTCCACATCCTCTTTGCTCTGCTCAACGCTTTGCAGGTGAGTTACACATATTTTTCTTTCCTCTGTGATCATTCAATATGGTGACATTATTGCAGTGCTGTGCTTGGCAGGGCATAAAAACAGCTGGGAAATGCTCAGATTTGCCTTATTCCAAAAGGGCTCTTTGGGAAACCCATTGCAGGAATTCAGCAGTATTTCATATTCTCTTCTGCTTTATCAGATGTGCCTTATAGATAAAATTGACCTAAAGATAACTTTGAACTTTGCCAGTAGCTTTGGGAAGATCTTAATTTACGAAGATCAGAAAAATAGCCCTATTATGTTCAGGTGGGCAAGCTGGAGCATCTCTGGTCTCATTTACAGTGCACCTGGCGGCATCATATTATGCTCTTGTGGGTTCAAGTATAAACAACATAAAAGTCACCAAGAATAGCTGAGCAGTGCTAATAATAAAGAGAGGAACTAACCAAAACACACACGATTGAGAGTTTTCAGTCAGTATGATTTTCACAGCAACCTATTTAGGTGGCCAGTAGGATCCCAATACATCAAGATTTCTTGAGGACAAAATAGTTATGTCTATTCTCTCTCTTTAAGAATGGCATCAAAGCTGAGTGCTTCAAACCAGACTCATTGACCTTTTACGTTGTGAACCTGCATTTTTACATTGTGAACCTGCTGTTTCATCTGGGGAGAATAGGCAGGACACAAAAGTTCCTTCTTCCAAATATATTTAGAGCAAACAAACTATCTGTGTTACTTTGTAGAGCAGATGTACACAGAATTTAAATAGGCCAGGCCTGATGAACTCCTGGTAAACATATCAGCAGCCCACTATGTGATATGAAGTTAGAAAAATGACCTCTATCAAAGAGTTCAGAGTTTAAATAGTCACCGTGGACAATGTTTGAGATAATTATGAGGTGCTGCAATTAAAGGTTGGTGTCATCAAACTGCATGTAATTATCTGTCTCCTAGGGATTATTCATTTTGGTGTTTGGGACTCTCTGGGACAAGAAGGTAAGGATTCAAACTATTTCCTAAATTATGTCAAAGTACTGTTGGAATTTGAACAGATTTTCTGTAAATACTGATTGATTGATTAATTTTTTAACAAATAGATACAAGAAGCCCTGTTGAAGAGGAATTCAACATCCAAATGGAGTTCACAGCAATCAAAGGTTAGAATCTAGACCTAAGAATGTATTTCAGTTACTGCTGAAGAGTCTAACATTCTCCAAGTGTCTCTTAAATCAAATGCACTTTATATTTTGGACTATTTATTAGAACTAGTCAGAGAAGACACTAACAACACAATTATGAACATATGCCTGGTTTTCAAAGTTCATTATTTTACCTGTAATTGGTAAAAAATGAGAAGGAAGTTGGTGGACATTTGCTCTAAATTCCACAGCAAAAAATATAAAATGTAACTGAAACTTCAGTTAGAAAACAGAAAATTTCTGTGGCTCAATTACTTTTTCACAATGTGAGAGAAATGCAAAGGGGACTTCTTGGGTAAGATCTTCACCTATGAGCAGGAGAGGATGGAGTTACTGCAACTTGAACTCATGAGACAAGGAGACAGGTTAGGCTCCTCTTTTTTCTGGGAAGAGAAAACGGGAGGAAGTATGAATCTTTTGTCAGATCATGTCTATGTGTTGCAAAGACTCATATTTTAATGAGCAAAAAATAGAATGTAAATGAATGTGCTTCTGGAAGAGGAGAGACTTTGGTCCCACACCCTGCAAATTCCCGAGTTTAACACAAAATATTCAGTGCCTAAAAAGAAGAATAATAAAAAAATATTGCAAATGAGGACTGGATTCTTAAAGAAGGTCCTGGAAGGCTTCTCTTCCATCCACAGTGTTTCTCTGGCCCAGTGGCTTTTGCATTCCTCCCTGCACTGAAGCACAGCTTGAACAGGCACCTGAAAATACCTCTGCTTGGGGTAGGCATTCACATTCAAGGGGGAAACCATTTCCACTACCATCTTTACCAGAAAAATAAAGTTTACACAGTGCCTTGGGAAAATAGCTGGCCACTGATGAGTGGCAAGATAAATTAGAGCAGGTTGTTTAGGACATTGTCCCATCGAGTTTTCAGTATCTCTAAAGCTGGAGAACACACTAACTCTTTTGACACAAAAAACTGTGGTGTTTTGTCACCCTCAGCATAAAAAAATACTAATTTTTTTCTTATGATTAAGGGGAATTTCTTCCATTTCAGTTTGTGCTCCAGAGGTCAAGACTCTGAGAAAAATGTTCCATAGGTGTTTGAAAAGGGTAAACCAGGGCTCAGTTGCTGGGCAGCCTTGAAGCTGGACTGTCCTGTGCCAGTCACACATTTCTCCCTTCACACCTTCCAACTTTAGCAGCTCCTCGTTCCTCTCTCCATGTGTCGTCCTTCATCACCACAGATCTCACAGCACCATAGGCCTTTCATTCCAGAATAACTAAAGGGAGACTGAGCTGTTTAAGCCACAGGAAAATGCTGGCATGGGGACAACTTGGCTGGAGGATCCTTGAATCCAACCAAGGGCAAATCTGCTTATGGCATTAAGCAACTACTACCCATTAGAAAGGATGGGGAACGATCTCCCAGAGTGAACAAAGGAGTAAAAGCACAGAATTAAAGGCTTTTACAATGAGGCTTGAGAAACTTCTCAAGCAGAATATGTCAGGCCAAACCACACAGGGAGCTCATGTTCTCAGTGACCCAGGATGTGTCTTACAGCCCAAGGAGAGGGCCGAGAGCTGAGGCTATTTACTGACATTCACCTCACAAAGAGCTCTACGGGTTGAGGAACATGTTGTACCCACAGAGTTCTTTGTTGTCCTCTTCCTGCTGATGCCAAAGGTGTCTTCATCTCCACTTCTGCACCAGAGGAGCCATATTCCCAGACACAGATCACAGAAAAGTTTCAGCCAACAGGAATAAAATACCTTTATCTGGGATTGCTGCATGAGGATGGGTAAACTGTGTATTCTGACACAGAAGTGCTTGTTTCAACTTGCACTTCTGCATTTCCCAAAGATGCTGGGATGTGTAGGAATCACAGAATGGTTTGAGTTGGAAGTGACCTTAAAGATCATCTGGTTCTAACACCCACCTCCCCCTCTCCCCTCATGGTATTAGCATCATTCTTATATGACAATAAAGCTTAATTTTATATTGGTGTCTGAACAGGGTTTATTCAGGAGAGCCTGTACAGGTATTGCTAAAGAACTAGGAAGCTGACTTAAAAGCCAGGATATTTAAGATGATGAGTATATAGGCTGAAAGGAATTAAGGAGTCCACTAAGGTTGAACTCTCAGTTCAGAAGAGCAGCACTGGATCAAAACACTCCAGCTTCCACAGGAATCACAGAATGTCTGAAGTGGTAAATTACCTCAACAGATCATCTAGTACCACCCTCCCACTCAGAGCATGGTCATCTAGAGCACAGAGCTCTGTCCAGTTGGGGTTTGAGCAGCTCCAAGGATGGAGACACCACAATCTCTCTCTGCAGCCTTTTCCTGTGCTTGACCACCCTCACAGTGAAAAAGTGTCCTCTTAAGTGGGATTTCCAGTATTTTTATTTGTTCCAATGCCTCTTGTGCTTTCACTGGGCACCAAGGAGAAAAGCCTGGCTTTGTCTTCACTCTGTTTCAGTCAGAGAACCCCCAGCATGTCCTGGTGTGTGGGTTTGTTCCTCCCCAGGGACAGGAGTACTTTGCATTTCCCTCTGCTGGACTTCATAGGGTTCCTGTCATCCCATTTCTTCAGCCTGTTGAGGTCTGATAACTAACAAATAAAACAATAGCAAAGTCTTTTGTTGAATTTTTTATATGTGATTCATTTACCTATTTCCTCTACCACCTTATGATATAGGTGACAGTACACAACACTACCTAAATTCCCCCCCATGGTACAACTAACAAACGAGGAAGGATCAAACAGAAAAAGATGTGTTTTCTGTGCCTTTTTTTTAAACACACCTTTTGGAGGAATCTAATTAAGTTCTCAAACCACTCCAGAAATTAAAAAGAAACTTCATTTTAGCAGCAAAAATTCCTTCCTTCCCATTAGGACTGCAGTGAGTTGTGTTCTAATGCCCTCTAGTGTGTCAAGTTAAATTTGCGTCAGATGATCTCAGGCTGTTGGCCGTCAAGGACAATCCCCATTCACATAAATCTTAGCTTTTCTGTTTACCTTAATGGCTGCACTGCCTCAGAGAAGGGACCAGAACCCCACACCTCCTGATGTAGCTCTGAAGCCTAAGCTGTCTTCCCTTGGCCAAAAGTTAGAGACAAGCTGTTTGTGTCGTGTAGTTCCATTTAAAGTTGATCTCCTTCATTGCCACCATAAACACGTAAATGTGTGACCTTCATGCCTCACAAACATTTATCTTGGCCCTCTGGGGGTTGCTTGCTTGTACTACTGAACAATGGTTTACTGGAACCTTTTTCTGCCTCAAATGCAGATACAGAAAAGTTCTAGGCTTTTGACAAAAACCAATTTTCTCTCTTACAGTCATCCTCCCTGATCCTGGTGACACCAATGCTTGCTATGAGCTACCCATTTTCCAGAACCTTTAACAACTTATGTGGGAAAACAGGTATGTGACAATAGACCTCCTTTTCTGAAGGGACAGACAAGGAGCTTTGCCTGTGTTCTCACTGTCAGAGTCTGTCTGTCCTGATATCTATCAGCCTGTTTGTCTCTCCATGCATCCTTAGATGGTATTTAATTTTGTAATGCAAAGAAGCTGTAGGAAGTTAACTGCAGTTCAATGCTAGCAGTATAATTGTCTGCCTCTGAAACAGGTGGCATGTTTCACCAATTCTAAAACCTACTAACTGAGCTTTGTTTTGAGCTTAATAAGATCGTGACACAGCTCATTCATCGTTCATGTACTCTTCACCGCCCTAAAACGGTATCTCTGCAAAGGCTCTCTGGCTGTCATTTTATGGACATCACCATTTCAGTTATGACTTCATTTTGCAAAAAGCATTGCTGGAAATATAATTTCATTCTTAAGTGAGTAGTCTTTGCATCCAAATATGGTCCAGAGAAGACGGAGAGATATGGTCAAAGCAGGATATGAAGGAGTCCAAGCTGACTTATCCTGGCTGTGTCACCAAATACAGTGACTTCTGTGGTTGCTGGTATTGCTGTAATCCAGGCAGTGTCAGGGCTGCAGGGCAAATCAGAGCCACCTGGGTCATCAGCACAGGGATAACTTCCCCTACTTTACACTGCCAGCACGTCCCAGGGTATCTGTCCTAATGTCCTATCACTGTGCTTGGTTTTGCAGGAAAATACAGAGTATCTTCTTCAGAGCCATCCACCTCTTCCTCTGAAAACACTTCCAAGGCATATTCTTTGCTTAACTGAAGCACTACAAATGCTAAATCACATAACCCCGAAAGGACCTCTGCCCTTTCCAAGACACACACAAAAAGTACCCGGGAGTCATGGAGAAGTGGACTGCTTCATTTTGACTAAACCATGCCTTTGGTGCATTCTTCTGGAACAATCATTTCCCGTTAATGTGTAAGGCAGGGAAGCTGTGAGAGGTGGAATTTTACATGGTCTGCCAATCTCTCAGAAGAGATGACAAAGATTTGAAGGCCTTCAGGTGCAAGAAAGGACATTGGAAGTGACGAATTCTCAGCCCTTGAGCAGGTGCTTAGCACTATGCAGTACTGAGCCATGAATTGCAGTGCTACACACAGCTGTTGTCCAGTGGTTTGGGTATTTCCCCTATCAACCCTCTGAATGATCCCAAAGGCCTGTGTAGATACACAAGTACCTCATAGCTTCTCTCCTGCCCTCGTATTGCAGTCTGGAAAGGCCACAGGGTATAGTGGTCTTCACCTTCTATTTGAGACTTTTCTGGAATCAAGAATTCCCAACTGAGAAGGTCCATTTCAGATCTTCACTTTTGGCTTAGCTAAAATGAAGACCGTGATGACTCCTGCGTGGTCTTCGTTCAGATGGAATGTACTGGAAGCCCCATGTGGTATATTTTTGAAGAAAAGGAAGCTTTATATCCTTAACAATATTTGTCCTTCCCTTGATATGTAATGTGGTAAGACAGAGATGGTTGCTGTCCTCTGCCACAGAGGGGACTGCATTTATTTAATGCATAATAGTGTTAAGTCTGCAAGGAGTGTCTTGTGTAAAGTCTGTATGTTTGGGTCTCCTCTCAGAGGAGAATCACACTTGGAGGGCTCAGAGAGTCAACTCTGCAGTGAATATAAATCACCATGTGCCAGGCAGGATGAATGGTTTGATATAAATTATTGCTCTAACACTATATTTGTGGAACCAGTTATTTCCAAACCTTTATACCTTTAAAGGCAGGATTCCTGTCTTAAGCAGAGGGCTATGAGAGAGCCTGCAAAGTATCTATAACACACACAAATGTACAAAATTTAATGTAAAATATGACAGATGGAATCATAAAGATTTAGATTTGAGGCCAATTTCAAATACTGCTGTGAGGTGGTACAGCTCCATTTGGTTGTCAGGGAATCAGGCCTATGTTTACCAATGGTGAACCTGTTCCCAGAACTTTGGGATGAATTAGGATGGGAAACTGTTCCCTTCAGTTAGAAACATATGTGGTGGTTTGGTATGAGCAGGTGGTGATGACGCAAGACAATAATCAAGCAACAATCAAATGCAATATTTATACTGAAAGTAATTGCCTTTTGCTTCAAGATGTAAATATAATACTAGAACTAGAACACATTTAGAGATGAAAATCCAGAATCTTTGAACTTCATGGTCAGTGGAAACTTGGAAATCTGACCTTTCCACATTATTCCAAGAAAAACTTGCCTTTGAGCAGCCATTTGGTCTAATTCACTCTGGAAGTAGCTTGTGCAATATTGACTTGCTGGAGAACCACTGAGTTAGAACAGGCTTTACATAAAATGTAAAGTAGATGTCCTTGTAGGCAGCACAGTCCCAGTCCCACACTGTGTCTGCCCTGGAATGCAAACATTTCATCTCTGAGATTTCACCACACCTCCCCGTTTAGCTGAGCCTGGGTCCTGCCTGTGTGTGAATGAGAGATCAGAATGTGATGCCAAAGCTGTCTGGCACCAAAGGGCCATCCTTGGGTGGCTCTTCAAAGGCCAAGTCTTTGATGAATTGTCATGGCTTTTCTAACACGGCAAATAGAAGCAGCTGAGAAATCAACTGTGCAGTCTTGGGGCCAAGGCTTCACTTGTATGCATACACAGATCAAGGTAAATTGGGAGAGAAGAAAAAGTGGGAGGGCTGAGTGAAGGAAGAAGGGAGAACACATGGCAGCAGCCATCCTTTTACCCCTTCTCCCCACTCTCAACAATACCAAATCTTTGGCATAGGCAAAAAAGGCTGTGGTCTCACCAGCAGATTCCTTCCTTCAGGAGTCTGGCATTTGTGGCAGCTGGCCCAATTCTTCCATTTGTCCTGATCAATCACATCCCCTTCCTAAAGTCAAGGCTGTCACAGGGCTCGTTCCCTCATGATTCCTGTCACTTGTGTACCTCCCCCTGCTTAACTGCAAGGCACTAAGTTACAGCATGTAGCAATGTGAACCTATCAGGTTCACATGATATCTAGAAAGGGTGGGATCTCTCCCTTACTCACCTTTATAGCATTGGATGGAGAAGAGCCACTGCCTTAGCACCTTCCTCTGATATATTCCAGCACAGGAAAAGTAGTAAAGGAGGGGATTGTGACACACAGGTCTCTGCAGCACTGACTTGCCTTCTCTCACCTTCTCTGCTTAGAATTTTTGGACTGAGACAGTTGCTGAACAACTTTTGCATTGTGCTTCAAGCTCATATTTCACCCTTCATGCCTTAAAAACTTTAGGAACCTTCGATATAAACAAGACAGAGCCCAGACCATTTTACCCACACTAATGTGAAAATAAATGTGCCCCAGACAGCTGTGTAGTTCTGATACATTTTCATTGGACCACACAGCCAATTATGCTCTGGTTCCTGATGTTTTCAAGGCTCATCAGTTTGGATGGCATCTTTATTTCTTACACTGTTCCAGGAAACATGTTTGGGAAACAGCTGCCATCTATGTTCAACTGCATGTTACCTTGTAGCAACCTCAGGTGGATGCATTAATTCCATGAGCAGAAGAAAGGAGATTAATTTCTTACAGGGTTGCTTCCTGTACTCTCCAACACCCTCCTCCTTCCAATCATGTGAGTTTCCATGGACTTCTTCAAATATCTCTGCCCCACAAGTTTAGGGCCACCCTAAAACTCTCCCCTATACCACACAGTACTTTCTGCTCTCACCCACCTTGTCACCAGCAGCTGGTAGGAAACTGGATGTGCCCTGGGGAGGGCAGAGCTGTGGAGGTGGTGCAGATCAGTCTGGGGCTCGCCAGGGCTGAGATGAGCACATTCTGCCCATCCCTCCCTCTGTGGCAACTCTAACAAGTTCTGCCCACCTTTAATACTTGTGAATTCGCAGCAAGAACTCTCTGAGGCTGTTAGTCCTCAGCAGCTGACAGGATTCAATGCTGTTGAGAAGACATGGGGCTGACAGGCAGATTCACACGTGGAGCATGGAATTGCCTTAGTACTATCCTGTTAGAAAACCAGAGTAAGGCATATGATACAATCTACACAAAAGCCAAGATAATTTCTTCTAACTTTTACCCTTTTGCAAGTTCTTCTTAGCTTTTACTTTAGGTTGCAAAATCAAAGAATCACTTCAGTTGGAAAAGACTTCTAAGATCATTGAATCCAACCATTCCCCCATCACTGCCAATCCCATCACTAAACCATGTCCCTCAGTGCCACATCTACATGTCTTTTAAATACCTCCAGGGACGGTGACCCCCCCACTTCCCTGAGCAGCCTGTTCCAGTGCTTGACAACCCTTTCAGTGAAGAAATTTTTCCCAATATCCAACCTAAACCTCCCCTGGTGCAACTTGAGGCTGTTCCCACCCATTCTATCACTTGTTACCTGGGAGAAGAGACTGATCCCACCAACTGGCTTCAACCTGCTGTCAGGGAGTGTAAAAAGTGATAAGGTTCCTGTTGAGCCTCCTTTTCTCCAGGCTGAGCTGCCCACCTGCTCCCTTAGCTGCTCCTTGTGCTCCAGACCCTTCCCTAGATCTGTTCCCCTTTTCTGGAGACACTCCATCACCTCAGTGTCTTTCTTGTTGTGAGGGGCCCAGAACTGAACCCACCCAGGTGTCTCAGCAGTGCAGCTGAGCCCCCTGGGCCTGGCTGCATGTAATACCAACCCCAGCCTAACACTCCTCTTTGCTAATTAAACTGGGGACTGGAAATCACCCCCTAGCCCCGAGGGAAGAGGATTGATCTTCTGCACCAGGGAGGAGAGCTGTGGCTGAGCACAGCTGATGGGGGGCACTGCTCCTGCCACCTTCCTTGGGCTCCCTGCCTGGGTATGTCACACCAGTCACATCCTGGGCTGTACCCCAGCTGTCTGACAGGACATCCTCTGTGGTGGAAGCCATCACAAGTTCTTCTAGCAGAGAGGGGTCAGTGTCTGGTTTGGCAGAGCGAAGACTTGGACTCTGTCTCCACAAGCAAATGGAACGGTGTCAGAGCACATGTATACTTATGGAGTGCATAGTGACAACTTGCAGTCTTATTCTTGGTGCCCCTTTACTCTAGGGACACCAAAATTACATTCAGGATAGCACTTGGCCAGGACTTGCCTGGATCCTCTCTGCCTTTGGTTTCTCTGTCTCACACATTAACTAGCAAGCTGCACCATACAATTTTATGCAAATTTATGGATCTCTTGTCTTTCATTTCATAACCCTATGTAACTTATGAGCTTGTCAACTTGGGTGGGAGACTCCCTTGACCCAAGGGAGAGTCCCTAATCCATCTAGCAGAAG